TGAGATTGAGGTTTTCTCGGATGATCTGTTTTCCATCATACAAGGGTGTGCGATGAAAAAAACGCAGGCCGATACGACAAGCAAGTGAAATAACTCCACGGAATAACACAGGCGAACGGACAGAGGAGCAATCGTACAGGAAACCCTTAGATATCTAGTAAATTTTGCGTCTTTCCAATACAGATAAAAGGCACTTCACGCAAGGGGAATACGGAGTAAAACCTACAGCCGCAACATATGAAGACCATAAGCAGTACCTAACACATGTGATAACGCAATAGGATCATCCAAAACATAATGATTGGACAGATATCATTTCTACATTTTCGATTCTGGTCAAGAGCCGATAAGGAAGATCCGATAGAAGAACAGCAGTTCACCCAACCTACAGACAGACTACCTCGGAAACTAAAATGATTGTGCCAAAATTGAAGGTTGTAAACAGGTCGAAGTTTTGCTAAGTGATCCGTTTTTAATTCACCCCTCCCCTCCCCTCCTTCTCAAAAGAATGAATAGAAGAAAATTCTAACTTTGTACAGCAATCAATCAGCATTGAAAAACGTCTAGTCGGGTAAATATGAATAAAGAGACCACTCGCGCCAACGCACCTTTTGAAAGTCTGGTCGACTGGATACACGCGTCAGGAGGATGTTGGCTGCCATAGTTTCGGTACTATTGTGGAAAAGGATGAACTTTACCCGACGACTGCACGCCAGAGGAGCCTTCTCAGGTGACTGCCGAAGGGAAGAACAAGAGATTATGGAAGGGCGATTAGCCGGGTTTGAACCGCCGGGATCCACATGTGCGGGCGGTCTACACCACCAAGCTATGAGAGAATGAGCCGCGCGCGTCGTATTACACATATTCTAGGTTATTGGTTCTGTTAGTTTTAAAAAATAAACCGGGATGTGGTTATCTGACGAAACTTTCATAACAAAATGTGGTTAGGCTAATAAGTGGAACATACCAGCGGAACAACCCATACCAATTTCTGAGCTTATAAATCATGTGCGACTTGCACCTTGGGTCTCAGAAGATCACAGAGTTCCACAGAAATAGGTAGTTAGAGAAAACTGATGAAATGGGAATTGTTTCCTGTACTAGTAGTAGTAGCAGCGGCAGTAAAGCAGTACTAAATGAAAAAAACATGCAATCTATGCTAACTGCAGGTGAAATATCACTCAGAGGTAAGATGATGAATGAAACTGCAATCAAATGATTAGTGAAAGTGACTTACAGTTGTGTGTTCAGCCAGGATATCGCGTACAAGGGTGTAGGGCACGCACATATACTCGCGCGGACAAACCCCGGACAGCAAAATAGAGGCCACGCGACAAATAACCAGCTAGTAAAAATGAAAAAGTAACCAGAGGATTCGGTGCACAGTTTAGTTCAGTTCAGTTCTTACAACCATTACCATGCACTTTCGTGTGCCGGTTTTGGTTGTCCATTTCGATAAAAAAGCAGAATGATGATTTGAATGTTGAGAGCAAATTCAAGCAGAAGATAGCTCATTTAAATAGACTGAAGTTACAAGAATAATGAGTAGATGCAAGAGCGCTACTGTTTGCGACACAGCCATACCGTCCAGTGTCTCTAATCATCGGTGACCATGATCTCGGGGTCCCCAGCGAGGGAGCCTAAGGGAACCTTTGTGAGCCAGTCTCCTAGTCAGGGTTTTCATACCCTCATGCCAGGTCTTAGTTTGACCGCCCTTGGTTTTTTTCCACCCACTACCTGCCTCGGCAAACATCGATACCCGTGGCAACCTATCTGGTGACATGCGTAGCACACGTCCCAACCGGCATAATCCATGATGGTCGACTAGATTCGATGAACGCATGTTACAAAAGAACCTGTGCGACTGACGAGTTCAGCAAAAGCATTATGATTATTATTCCTGCCAAACCATAGTTAGGAGCAAATGCGAGATGCATAAGATGTAGTGAAAGCCAAATTTGCAAGCAGAAAAAGAGAAAAATAATTGAGACAAAGATTACAGTCCAGTTTTTAATTTTTTAACTGATCCAGACGAAGGAAACAGACTAGTCACCAACGTGTTGCTATATTATCAAATTAATGAACAATAGATAACAACGGGGGACTTGGGACATGAAAATTTAGAAGACCTAGAATCGGGTGGTGGCGTGGTCAAGCGGTTCAAGTCGTTAACCTCAATGTGCTTTGGGTTATACGGTCAGAGGTTCGAACTGCACTAACTCCGCCACCTAACTTTCACGGCGGGCAGCTTCGCCGTTGTTCGACTGAATGCCACAATTGACCTAGCGGGGCCTCATGTGCTTCGTCACTCCAAACACCAGGGCTTACGCTGCCGATTACCATGAGTGAACAGCAGGCCTTGCGACTATATGGTTCATCCCACCTACTGTTCTTCACACAGTGGTGTGATATAAAAACAACGGGAGTAAGAACATATTGCGCAAGACTTACCAATTGATCCTCAACGGGAGACCAAACACATCGAGGATTTCGCATGCGTGCACCAAAGTTGTCAGGTTCCCCTTTACGTAAAATCAAGATGAAGGGATGGTTGCATAACAAATGAATGCACGCATAAAATTCGAAATACGACCACTCTATGCAATGCGATGGGAACTGAAAAAATAAGCTTTCTGACCACAAGTGAAGAGAACCAGAGTAGCTAAATTGATGTAAATTTCTGCTCTCCATAGTGGACAGACTGATAGCCTTAGACTCAAACGAATGGGGATTTTGTTAACACCAAGGCACCAAGATCATTGTTTGAATAAAACGTCATCGTCATCAAAACCGACAAGTCCTGAATGTGCAATTCTGTATCTACTACACAAAATTTAAGATAGGGATGAGTATCAGTGAAGTATGAGAAATTCATTTTGGTTCCAGCAATAAAATGAACTGAAGCGAGAAACGGTAAAAAAAGTTAACGACACTATGAAAACAAACCAAATGTCCGTACACGGTCAGCAGACGCACGCGAGCTATTGTTTACGACTAAACTGCATTACTCAGTGAATCTAACCAATGGTTAGGCTGATCAGGAATCTTTCGACCACGAAGTTTAACATGACTTTTAGGACCAGGTCTCTTGGTCAGTGTTTTAGACTCTCATGCTATCTCATGTTCCGGTCAGCCACCTCTGACCATTTTCCAATTACTATTTCCCTCGTAAAACACTACATGTCAAGGAAGTCGATTCGGTGATGTATGTACTATAAACCACAACTATCAACATCAACAGAGGTCAGGCAATTCCGCCATCATGTCACGGGGAATAATTAAATATTTGTCTAACCTCCGCATTGCTTGTTCGGTTGCCCAACCAGACTCGAGCAATCTCGCTTAGACAGAAGTGTACAAATGCCGGTAGTTTATCTAAATCTT